GAGGCAACCAGGGCTAAATTTAGGCAAACCCCATTGATGGGGGCCAGGCCAGGCCTTCAGCTTGCATAGCTGTATTGGCCGGCGCAAGTATTGCGCCGACAGCTGACAGACGGTTGAGGTAGCACAGCGTCGCCTCACTATGGGACGCCGACTGGTGGAGAAAATCCACCGCAAGAGCCACTGGCGTGAGTCGGTCGGGGTGTGGGCAGACTCGATCACCGATTTTGGTGATTCCAGAATAAGGGATGAAGTATTTCATCCCTTGTCGGGTGACCCGACACCCACGGAGCTCTTGCAGATCCAAGTCAAGACTGACCTCAACTTCATCCTCACTTCCAAAAAAGCACTCTGACAACTCTCGACACACAGTGATGCTGGCGCCCGGCGGCGGCTCAGCGCCCTGATGGCCATTGTGGCGATGCCCCAGGCTAGTCCACCTGACTGTGTGAAGTGGCCCCTGCGGGGTAGACTGCACCATGCCGCGCTCTGCTTGCTGTCTATCGATCAGTCAACGACGTGCCGACTGAACCAAGCTACAGTAAGTGCAAGAGGCTGAGGTGCCGGCAAGATCCTCACTCGCCCGCGCCCCGTCACCGCCCCCCCACCCCTCCCCCTGCCACTGGCCGCTACCTAGTATGCCGAGTTGAAAAACCGCTGCAGCAGGAAGAGAGTCATTCCAAGAATGAAGGGCGGCCCGTGCTAAAATGGGGTATGGGCGTGAAAGCGCGCCACAAGGCAAAGCAAAATTGTTTTGAAGAGCACGGACCACTTTGGGTATGCGCCAGATTACCACATGAATGTGCACCCTCGCCTTGTGACACTATCAGAGGAGCCCGAATGCCGTTGAACCCAGCATTGGATGCAGAAGAGAGCAAACCAATTACCGTCAGCGAGGAGCTGGGGAACCACCTCAGAAGCCAGAAGTATCGCCTCGTGGCGGGGGACCGTACCACACAACGCAAAAGAAGGGCGGCCACGCGGCATGTGTCACGTCCATAACCAGAGCGGTAAAACGAACTAGCTACTAAAGGCTGCAAATCACTCAACCGCATTCCCGAGCCGGCTCCGTACTCCAAAAGCAGAGCCACAAGCGGGGCACTACGCAGCGCCGCAGCGGTCCGCAAGCAAGGGGGATGGCCCGTGCTCCCCTGTGAAGTGGACGTTTGCTTGCGCTTCAAGTAGCTGGACAACTGCTGCAGAGGAGCCAAGGCGGATGGCATACTGCAGAGGGACAGTCTGACGGGCACGGAAGCTCAAGGTCTGGACATTGGGCAAGGCCCGCGCAAGTAGCAAGGTTGCCAGAGCTCCGCCGAGCTGACGACTGAGAGCATAGTAGATGGGAAGGCCAAATTCGCCCCAGTCCGTAGGTTCAGGCAGTTCCAACAAGCAAGAGTGTAGTCCCAGGGCGCAGGGCCGTGGCAAAGCTGCCACTAGCCAGAGCACGCCGGAGGCCTAGGGCCTGTAAAGGCCGGCTGAACCTGTAGATGATCGAGACTTCGTCTTCCGACTCGTGGGCTACCAGACCAGCCATGGGCCATTGCAGACAATGCAGAATAAGGCTGGCATGGTCCTCTCCAGCCTCGCTATGTCCAATCACGCGGCCGCTAAGGGCAAAACGCAGCGTGAGTAGCGGTGGGTATACGCACGAGGGACTTCGTAGCCACAGAGGCGGAACGCCCGCAGGACTTCTTCATCCACCCACTGACAAGCTAGATCAAAAGGCGAAAGCCCGCGCAAACTGCCATGACGTGCCACAGAGTGAGGGCACGCTTGCGCATTGAGCAGGACATCACCATAATACGATGGCCCCGGGCGACAGCTAAAAGCAGGGGGCTGTAACCAGTGAGGGGATCTAGCACTGCCCTCGCCTGCAAGAGAAGGGCAGTGCACGAATGAGCATTAGCAAGCACTGAAAATGCTAGGGGCGTATGCCCCCGCATGTCGGGAGTATTAGCACTGGCCCGGAGAGCAAGCAACCAACATAGGTTTTTGGGGGGGGTGTTCGAACCCAAGGTTTGGAACTTAGAGTTCCGAACCCAGGGTTCTGGAACTCCGAACTAAGAGTTCGGAGCCTCGAACCCAGGGTTCAAACATCGAAGTTCCCTCCGAACCCTGGGTTCGAACTTTGAGTTGAACTCCAAGTTGAACTCAACTCTGAACTTCTTGAACTGGAGTTGAACCTGGAGTTGAACTCTGAAAGGCGAAGAGTTTGAACCCAGGGTTTGAACATAAGAGTTTCCGAACCCAGAGTTCGGAGTTGAAACCCAGGTTTCGAACATAGAGTTTCCGAACCCAGAGTTCGAACATGGAGTTTCCGAACCCAGAGTTCGAACTCTTGTATCATTGCTTCTTGTTCTCTCATTTTATTTTTTTCGCAAAAACCCCCATTAGCGATTTCGTGTGTCTTCTTCTTTTGCTTGTGCTTGCAGTTGAGTTTGTGGTTTCTGTCATTGTAGTGTGCTCTCAGTAATTTTATTCGCCAAACCCCCCACAAAGCGATTCTGTGTGGCTTCTTCTCTTTTTGTTTGGTGATTGTTGGTGTTCGAACCCCGTTCGAACTTTCGGGGGGAGTCTAGAACCCGGGGTTGGGCGGTTCATTTGTTCGCGCCTTTAGCATTCTCGTAGGAGACTTCATGTCCTTCTGAAGCCCCCTTGAGAAGAAAGACTCCTCGTCATTGACAATCTTTTTCTTTGTTTTGTCTTTCTTTTATTTCTTCGCCAAAACCCCCCATAAAGTGGTTTCGTGTGGCTTCTTCTTCTTTTGTGGCAGGGACTGGTCCTTGGCAGTCTTTTTCAACTCCGACTCATTGACAATCTTTTTCTTTGTTTTGTCTTTCTTTTATTTCTTCGCAAAAACCACCCATAAAGCGGTTTCGTGTGGCTTCTTCTTCTTTTGTGGCAGGGACTGGTCATTGGCAGTCTTTTTCTTTGTTTTCGGCAAGCTTCTAAAAACAGCGGGGGGGTTGGGGGGGGCGCAGCCCCCCCAAACGTGGAGTTCCGGAACCCAGGGTTCGAACGCCCCAGGGGGGACGAATTCCAGAACCCGAGGTTCCAACATAGAGTTCCCCAAACCCCGGGTTCCAACATAGAGTTCCCGAACCCAGGGTTCGAACTCCCTGGGGCAGGGGGGGGGGGTTCCGGAACCCGGGGTTCCGGTATAGAGTTCCCCAAACCCCAGGTTCGAACATAGAGTTCCGAACCCAGGGTTCGGACTCTCTGGGAAAGGGGGAGGAGTTCCCGAACCCGGTGTTCGAACGTGGAGTTCTCCAAACCCCGGGTTCGAACATAGAGTTCCCGAGCCCAGGGTTCGAACATAGAGTTCCCGAACCCCGGGTTCGAACATAGAGTTCCGGAACCCAGGGTTTGAACATAGAGTTCAAACTCCAGGTTCAACCTGGGTTCGAGAAGTTCGAACCCAGGGTTCAACCCTGAGTTCCGGAGTTATATGTTCTCCCCCCCCCCCCGGGCCCCCCGGGAGTTCGAACCCTGGGTTCCGGAACACTCCAAAAACCTATGCTCGCAAGCAACGCCGCCAGACAGCTTGATGGAAGATCAATCACATGCGCCACCATTGGCGCACGATACGTAATATCATCACGATTCGGCAGGAAGCGATTCGGACCGTGCACACCAGAACTCGGCCTGCAGAGTTCTGAGGAAGGTTTCGTTGCAATTCGGACCGTGCACACCAGAACTGAGTTCTCAGGATCGTTACAATTCAGACCGTGCACACCAGAACTCGGTCTGCGGACCACGCACACCAGAACTGAGTTCTGAGGAAGGTTTCGTTGCAATTCGGACCGTGCACACCAGAACTCGGCCTGCAGAGTTCGGAAGGTTTCGTTGCAATTCGGACCGTGCACACCAGAACTGAGTTCTGAGGAAGGTTTCGTTGCAATTCGGACCGTGCACACCAGAACTCGGCCTGCAGAGTTCTGAGGAAGGTTTCGTTGCAATTCGGACCGTGCACACCAGAACTGAGTTCTGAGGAAGGTTTCGTTGCAATTCGGACCGTGCACACCAGAACTCGGCCTGCAGAGTTCTGAGGAAGGTTTCGTTGCAATTCGGACCGTGCACACCAGAACTGAGTTCTGAGGAAGGTTTCGTTGCAATTCGGACCGTGCACACCAGAACTCGGCCTGCAGAGTTCTGAGGAAGGTTTCGTTGCAATTCGGACCGTGCACACCAGAACTGAGTTCTGAGGAAGGTTTCGTTGCAATTCGGACCGTGCACACAAGACCTCGGCCTGCAGAGTTCTGAGGAAGGTTTCGTTGCAATTCGGACTGTGCACACCAGAACTGAGTTCTAACGAAGATTTCGTTGCAATTCGGACCGTGCACACCAGAACTCGGCCTGCAGAGTTCTGAGGAAGGTTTCGTTGCAATTCGGACCGTGCGCACCAGAACTCGGCCTGCAGAGTTCTGAGGAAGGTTTCGTTGCAATTCGGACCGCGCACACCAGAACTGAGTTCTGAGGGTTTCGTTGCAATTCGGACCGTGCGCACCAGAACTCGGCCTGCAGAGTTCTGAGGAAGGTTTCGTTGCAATTCGGACCGTGCACACCAGAACTGAGTTCTGAGGAAGGTTTATTGCAATTCGGACCGTGCACACCAGAACTCGGCTTGCAGAGTTCTGGGGAAGGTTTCGTTGCAATTCGGACAGTGCACCAGAACTGAGTTCCGAGGAAGGTTTTGTTGCAATTCGGACCGTGCTCACCAGAACCTGCAGAGTTCTAAGGAAGGTTTCGTTGCAATTCGGACCGTGCACACCAGAACTGAGTTCTGAGGAAGGTTTCGTTGCAATTCGGACCGTGCACACCAGAACTCGGCCTGCAGAGTTCTGAGGAAGGTCGCGTTGCAATTGACCCCAGGCAAGGTTGGCCGGGTGTGCCTTGTCTGTAGCGACAGTTCTTGGGTGGGGTAACCGGTAGAAGGGCACAGTCGGAGGGGAGTCCTTCTGACATACGTCAGTCGGCTTTGAAGGTCCTCCAGCGCCTTAGTGATGTCATGGGCTTCCCTTTTGGGTAGCGGCTCCACGAAACAAAGCCAGCTCTACATCTGGGCCGCCTGGCACAAGTCATTCTCCAAAGAGACGAATGATGACCTCTGGAGTCTTTTACTCTGGTCTTTCGAATCGTTGTGGTCCGGCGTTTTCCCGAAAAAAGACTGGCGAGGATATGATTTCGATCCCCACAGTCCCGAGGGACAGCGAGCTGGCCAATACCTCGCGGACGGCTATAGAGCTGTCTTGGTGGCAAGCTGTGGAGACCTGGACTACATGGCACAGTTCCAGGGCCTTCCCCGGTGGAATTCCAATTCCCCTTGTTGCTTGTGCCAGTGCCAGAAAAAAGGAGACCGCAGCTGGCACTGCTTTGCGGCCGATGCCGCATGGAGGACAACTCTGTGGACCCCTGCTGCTTGGAAAGCATGGCCGAGCCGAAGCACGAACAAGATGTTCCAGAAGGACCTCTACTCTGTGCTCGTGGTCCATTTTGACCTGATGCATTGCCGGTACCTTGGCTATCTCCAGCAGCTGTATGGGTCGGTTTTTTGGGTCCTCTGTGAGGAGACGATGCAGGGGAGTCCAAGCGACAATCTGCATGAACTCTGGAACTTTCTGAAGACATACCAATCCACCCACAAGGTGCACAGCCCGTACTCCCAGAGGCTGAACAAGGTCAGCATGTACAAGAAGAAGACCGACTATCCGAAGCTTCGTGGAAAAGCGGCGGAGATCAAGGACATGGCAGCAGCCGTGCGGGCAATGTGGGCTCATTTTGGTGTTCCTGGTCAGGACTTCCAAGAGATTGGGTTACTCCTGGATTTGACATGCAAGTTCGAGGAGATACTGGAGTAATGGCCCATTGCAGACGGTTATTTCTGCCTTCCTGCCGAAGCTGCAGACAGACTGAAGACGAACTTTCGGGACTTCGCATGGTGTATGTCATGGTCGGGGATCGCTTTCGCAGCGAAAATCGTCGGGCCTTCAATCCTACACAAAAGATTCTCTTCTTCCGGAACAATGCATGTTTTTCACATTTGTGGCTTTTATAAATATACAAACACAAATCCTGCAACCCTTTTAAACCCTATATAAACAGCCTTTCTAATGCCCACAAACCTTCTTCCTGAGACATATAGAAGGATGCATGCCTGCGAGCATATCGTCATGCTCAGTGACTTGATTCATCCTGGCCTCACATCTTGCTGGCGAGGGGAGGACAGAAATGAATGGTCTCCTGCTTTATAAACACGTGCTCGCACAATCCAAAGGGTTTTTTTGTGTAGAGGTTTCATATATGGGTCCTAGGACTTATATAGAGAGGGCTTCAAGTCTAAACGATTTTTTGGGTTTCGGGGCCCTCGAGGACTACATGTCCAAGCTCGGCACTCTGATGGCTTCCTGCTGTCGTGGTGTTCAGCGAGAGGAGGCGAGCCACAAGCTGAACCTGAAGATGAGGCTTGCACTTCACCTGCAGTGGCAGAAGCTGTCGTGACCTCTGTTCTCTGTGCTCGTGGTCCAATTTGACAGATGAGATCTCCCCTGTTCCTTTCTTGGTGTTACACCGAGTCAGTGGGGAGATCCACAAAGCAAACGTCCCTGTCCCTTTCTTGGTGTTACACCGAGTTAGGTCAGGCCGCAAAATCTAAGCACTCCCCTGTCCCTTTCTTGGTGTTACACCGAGTTAGGTCAGGGCACAATATATCAAACCACTCCCCTGTCCCTTTCTTGGTGTTACACCGAGTTATAGGTCAGGGCACAATATATCAAACCACTCCCCTGTCCCTTTCTTGGTGTTACACCGAGTTAGGTCAGGGCACAATATATCAAAGCACTGCCCTGTCCCTTTCTTGGTGTTACACCGAGTTAGCTCAGGGCACAAAATCCAAGAGCTCTCATCGCTCTCGCGGAAAAAAAATTCGCAGTGCACAGAGGCCTGCCGCACAACCCTTTTAAACCCTCTCTATAGAAACCTGTAAATCCTGAACCCTATAAACCCTCTATAAGCCACAACAAAAGGAAGACTCTGTTTGCATCTCTCTGGCAGGCTCCATCATATCCTGGACGAGGTTTTGGTGGCCAGCTGTGGAGACTTGACGGTGCTCAGCAAGGGGAAACTAGTGGACTGGGCTTTGGCCCACTTTTGGCAAAGGCCTGCTCCAAGGGTTTATACAGAGTGTGTCTTTGCAGCCCCACGAAAGAAGATTCAGAGTGCTCTCTGGCAGGCTGTGGCTGGTTTTGAGCTCTCCAAAGCAAACTCGCCTGTTCCTTTCTTGGTGTTACACCGAGTTAGGTCAGGGGAGGGCTATGGAGGTTTTGGCACAAATCACGAAGGCCTGCTCCAAGGGTTTACAGACTGTGTGTTTGCATTCCCACAAAAGAAGATTCAGAGTGTGCTCTCTGGCAGGCTCTGGCCGGTTTTGAGCTCTGGAACTTTCTGAAGACATACTTGTGACGCTCCAAAGCAAACTCCCCTCTCTGTTCCTTTCTTGGTGTTACACCGAGTTGGGGGAGGTCTCTCGCACTTGGCAGAAGCACTCTCATCGCTCTCGCGAAAAAAAGATGTCGTCGCAGTGCAGTTTCGAAACCTGTGACACATGAAGAGCATCGCATGCCTCATTGTGTGAAGCTTTCGCACAGCGAAACTGCGAACAGCTCACATTATAAAGCAGCAGGAAGTTTTGACCGACGAGATGTGAGGGCACACGCACAGAGAGTGAGAGAGAAACAGGGAAAACACACACGAACCCTAAGCCCTATACAGACCTTTTTGGCCCTAAACCCTATAAAACCCTACAGACCTTACACACCCTCTCATTTTTTGGATCAAATTTTCGGCTACAGACCTCACCCTAAACCCTAAAATTTAATTCTTGTGGCTCAAGTTTTTGGCTCAAATAGAACAGAGGATCTCTCCTCCACAAACAAGATGTGCTGGTGGCTCGAACTTCTGTCACTGAAACGTCCAAAAAAACGTCGGTGCTCAGCAAGGGGAAACTAGTGGACTGGGCTTTGGCCCACTTTTGGCAAAGGCCTGCTCCAAGGGTTTATACAGAGTGTGTCTTTGCAGTCCCACGAAAGAAGATTCAGAGTGCTCTCTGGCAGGCTGTGGCTGGTTTTGAGCTCTCCAAAGCAAACTCGCCTGTTCCTTTCTTGGTGTTACACCGAGTTAGGTCAGGGGAGGGCTATGGAGGTTTTGGCACAAATCACGAAGGCCTGCTCCAAGGGTTTACAGACTGTGTGTTTGCATTCCCACAAAAGAAGATTCAGAGTGTGCTCTCTGGCAGGCTCTGGCCGGTTTTGAGCTCTGGAACTTTCTGAAGACATACTTGTGACGCTCCAAAGCAAACTCCCCTCTCTGTTCCTTTCTTGGTGTTACACCGAGTTGGGGGAGGTCTCTCGCACTTGGCGGAAGCACTCTCATCGCTCTCGCGAAAAAAAAGATGTCGTCGCAGTGCAGTTTCGAAACCTGTGACGCATGAAGAGCATCGCATGCCTCATTGTGTGAAGCTTTCGCACAGCGAAACTGCGAACAGCTCACATTATAAAGCAGCAGGAAGTTTTGACCGACGAGATGTGAGGGCACACGCACAGAGAGTGAGAGAGAAACAGGGAAAACACACACGAACCCTAAGCCCTATACAGACCTTTTTGGCCCTAAACCCTATAAAACCCTACAGACCTTACACACCCTCTCATTTTTTGGATCAAATTTTCGGCTACAGACCTCACCCTAAACCCTAAAATTTAATTCTTGTGGCTCAAGTTTTTGGCTCAAATAGAATAGAACAGAGGATCTCTCCTCCACAAACAAGATGTGCTGGTGGCTCGAACTTCTGTCACTGAAACGTCCAAAAAAACGTTCTTCTGGCTCAAATTTGTGGCTCAAAAGAACAGAGGACTCTCTCTCCTCCACACAAACATGTATATACATCTCTTGGTTCTGCTTGTTGTTGTGTCGGCCGCATTCTTCAGTGGAGACAACAAAATCTTGTTTTTTTTTTTGTGTGTGTGTGTGTGTGTGTGTGTGTTTCGTCCAAATGGCATTGGGAAACACATGGAAACACAAGCAGAAAGGAATGTTGTGCCAGTAATCTCGGCTGCAAATGTACCGAAACAGAGTGTAATTCGGAGAACATGGGTGTATAATTTACACGTTTGGCGTGTAATTTACACACCCAAATTTACACGAAAAAGTGTAAATTTCAGGGATAGATTTACACGTCAAAAACGTGTAAAAAATTAAAAAATGTAAAATCTAAAATTACGCGAAAAGGATCTATCAGGCAGAACTGAGTTCTGAGGAAGGTTTCGTTGCAATTCGGACCGTGCACACCAGAATTCGGCCTGCAGAGTTCTGAGGAAGGTTTCGTTGCAATTCGGACCGTGCACACCAGAACTGAGTTCTGAGGAAGGTTTCGTTGCAATTCGGACCGTGCACACCAGAACTCGGCCTGCAGAGTTCTGAGGAAGGTTTCGTTGCAATTCGGACCGTGCACACCAGAACTGAGTTCTGAGGAAGGTTTCGTTGCAATTCGGACCGTGCACACCAGAACTCGGCCTGCAGAGTTCTGAGGAAGGTTTCGTTGCAATTCGGACCGTGCACACCAGAACTGAGTTCTGAGGAAGGTTTCGTTGCAATTCGGACCGTGCACACCAGAACTCGGCCTGCAGAGTTCTGAGGAAGGTTTCGTTGCAATTCGGACCGTGCACACCAGGTTCTGAGGAAGGTTTCGTTGCAATTCGGACCGTGCACACCAGAACTCGGCCTGCAGAGTTCTGAGGAAGGTTTCGTTGCAATTCGGACCGTGCACACCAGAACTGAGTTCTGAGGAAGGTTTCGTTGCAATTCGGACCGTGCACACCAGAACTCGGCCTGCAGAGTTCTGAGGAAGGTTTCGTTGCAATTCGGACCGTGCACACCAGAACTGAGTTCTGAGGAAGGTTTCGTTGCAATTCGGACCGTGCACACCAGAACTCGGCCTGCAGAGTTCTGAGGAAGGTTTCGTTGCAATTCGGACCGTGCACACCAGAACTGAGTTCTGAGGAAGGTTTCGTTGCAATTCGGACCGTGCACACCAGAACTCGGCCTGCAGAGTTCTGAGGAAGGTTTCGTTGCAATTCGGACCGTGCACACCAGAACTGAGTTCTGAGGAAGGTTTCGTTGCAATTCGGACCGTGCACACCAGAACTCGGCCTGCAGAGTTCTGAGGAAGGTTTCGTTGCAATTCGGACCGTGCACACCAGAACTGAGTTCTGAAGGTTTCGTTGCAATTCGGACCGTGCACACCAGAACTCGGCCTGCAGAGTTCTGAGGAAGGTTTCGTTGCAATTCGGACCGTGCACACCAGAACTGAGTTCTGAGGAAGGTTTCGTTGCAATTCGGACCGTGCACACCAGAACTCGGCCTGCAGAGTTCTGAGGAAGGTTTCGTTGCAATTCGGACCGTGCACACCAGAACTGAGTTCTGAGGAAGGTTTCGTTGCAATTCGGACCGTGCACACCAGAACTCGGCCTGCAGAGTTCTGAGGAAGGTTTCGTTGCAATTCGGACCGTGCACACCAGAACTGAGTTCTGAGGAAGGTTTCGTTGCAATTCGGACCGTGCACACCAGAACTCGGCCTGCAGAGTTCTGAGGAAGGTTTCGTTGCAATTCGGACCGTGCACACCAGAACTCGGCCTGCAGAGTTCTGAGGAAGGTTTCGTTGCAATTCGGACCGTGCACACCAGAACTGAGTTCTGAGGAAGGTTTCGTTGCAATTCGGACCGTGCACACCAGAACTCGGCCTGCAGAGTTCTGAGGAAGGTTTCGTTGCAATTCGGACCGTGCACACCAGAAGTTCAATTCGGACCGT